CACAGAGAGACACAGAGAGACACAGAGAGACACAGAGAGACACAGAGAGACACAGAGGGACACAGAGGGACACAGAGGGACACAGAGGGACACAGAGGGACACAGAGGGACACAGAGGGACACAGAGGGACACAGAGGGACACAGAGGGACACAGAGGGACACAGAGGGACACAGAGGGACACAGAGGGACACAGAGGGACACAGAGGGACCCAGAGAGACGCAGAGGGACGCAGAGGGACGCAGAGGGACGCAGAGGGACGCAGAGGGACGCAGAGGGACGCAGAGAGACGCAGAGAGACGCAGAGAGACGCAGAGAGACGCAGAGAGACGCAGAGAGACGCAGAGAGACGCAGAGAGACGCAGAGAGACGCAGAGAGACGCAGAGAGACGCAGAGAGACGCAGAGAGACGCAGAGAGACGCAGAGAGACGCAGAGAGACGCAGAGAGACGCAGAGAGACGCAGAGAGACGCAGAGAGACGCAGAGAGACGCAGAGACACGCAGAGACGCACGCAGAGACGCAGAGACACGCAGAGACGCAGAGACGCAGAGAGACGCAGAGACACGCAGAGACACGCAGAGACACGCAGAGACGCAGAGACGCAGAGACGCGCAGAGACACGCAGAGACACGCAGAGACAGAGACGCAGAGACGCGCAGAGACGCGCAGAGACGCGCAGAGACGCGCAGAGACGCGCAGAGACGCGCAGAGACGCGCAGAGACGCGCAGAGACGCGCAGAGACGCGCAGAGACGCGCAGACACGCGCAGAGACACGCGCAGACACGCGCAGACACGCGCAGACACGCGCAGACACGCGCAGACACGCGCAGACACGCGCAGACACGCGCAGACACGCGCAGACACGCGCAGACACGCGCAGACACGCGCAGACACGCGCAGACACGCGCAGACACGCGCAGACACGCGCAGACACGCGCAGACACGCGCAGACACGCGCAGACACACGCAGACACACAGACACGCAGACACACAGACACACACAGACACACAGACACACAGACACACAGACACACAGACACACAGACACACAGACACACAGACACACAGACACACAGACACACAGACACACACACACACACACACACACACTTGATGGAAGACATCGAAACTGCGAAGGCGCACCCCCGAGCAACTGAAAAGTGAAAAGTGGAGTTTCGGCACAACGTACATGCTACGTCTTTCCTTCGTGTGGATCAGGATGCCATCTGCCACACCAAGTACTCCACGAGCAGAGGTCCATTGCGGTGGCATCCGACTCCAAGGAACAAGCAAAAACCCTGAAGACCCCTTAGGAACAGGGGGCACACACACACACGCCCAAAAGGGAGAACACAGGGCAACCCAAACACGAAACAGAAAAGGAAAACGAAAAAGAAAAAAACACCTGAAACCGAGAACAAAAATGCAAAAAGAAGCAAAACAAGCAAGAAGAGCAAAAATAAAAAGAAAAAGAAAAATCGCCTTCGTCATTCCGCGCGACGGTTGTTTCGGCCTTTTCCCGTGCCTATCTGATGCAGATACAAGGTCCCGGTCAAGCTGGTAGAAGATGCCGAGGAGTGATCGCGTCTGGGCACCATGCGTCCTGCCAAGTTGAAGTCGAACAAGGGGCCTGCGTCAGGGGCATCAGATACGCCTGGCGGGACGGACAGAAAGGGGTCAGGGGGGCGTGATACAAGTCTGGTGAAACATCTTGGGAAACAGTCACGGTCCTTGGGGTGCTTTTGGAGACCCGATGAGGGCCAAAGTCAGCAGAAAAAGTTCAGCGGTAGTGCTCACCACGGCCAGGCGGTAAAGGTCAGTCGGCAAAGGTCAGAAGAAAAGGTCTGTGCGTGAGGCAAATCGATGCCCCGAAGGGTTCACAACACGGACCGTGGCTTGGAAGCAGTGCCGGCACACACTTGATGGAAGACATCGAAACTGCAAAGGCGCACCCCCAAGCAACTGAAAAGTGAAAAGTGGAGTTTCGGCACAACGTGCATGCTACGTCTTTCCTTCGTGTGGCCCTCATCAGGGATGCCGTCTGCCACACCTAGGAACAGGGGGCACACACACACACGCGCACGCACACGCACGCACGCACGCACGCACGCACGCGCGCACGCGCGCACGCAGGCAGACGCGCACGCACACGCAGGCACGCAGGCACGCAGGCACGCAGGCACGCACGCACACGCGCGCACACACACCCACACACACCCACACACACACCCACACATACACACGCACGCGCGCACGCACAAACACCCAAACACGCGGGGACACGCTGATCGAGGGAGAGTGTGCTCCTTCAAGCCTGTAGAAAACCTCTCGCGTCGCGTCTGCCATAATTATAACGCACATTCGCAACGGGACGGCCGCCGTGTTCCCGGCTGATGCCGGATTCCGCCGCTAGGTTCCTTGCCGCCCTGACATGCGTCTTAGGAATTCGTCCTCGTCTGCGGGCGGAGAAGTAATACCGCCCCAGCGGCCGCAATGTAAATTTGGCCTGACTGAAACTGTAATGGACACCCCTGTGACTCTTTGACGGGCGCAAGTAGGACTTCAACACGCTCGCAAGATGGTAGCACTCGTTCTAGCCACCCTGCTTGCGAGGCTTGTGCAGGACATCCAGAAAACCACCCCCACGCAAAAGGCCCCGAGTCAAAATAACTTGTCCTCAAGCCCCTCATGGCAAGCATGGCGCCGTCTGGGGCTCAAGCCATCTATTGCGAAGCGCAGGGAGCCGCCATCTGCGTACTCTCGGAACCTTCAATAACCAACGCGGGAATGGCTTTCAAACTGCATCTTGGGGCCGGGCATGTGTTTTCGCACCTCGGCTTCTTGGGGACCGTTCTTTGGTGACTGCATCAACAGGGTTGACGGATTTTGCAACTTTGGCCCGGGGACGTGACTCAGTGCAGCTTGGAGTAGGACATTATGCCGTGCCCACGCCAAGCAGCCAAGCAAACAAACCGCCCATTTCGGTCACACACCGCCGAGAGCCGATGTCAATCACCAGCGTCGCAGCGTCAATTTGTAAATTGCAGCAATTGCGCCCCTGATCCCTTGACACCAAGTTAAGCCGAGTTGCAGCGTGCATGATATCCTTTTCCTCCAAGTCGTGCCTGCCAGCCCAGGAACTGCTAATCCGGACAGCCTCCAACCCTGCTTTGGAATGATTTAAGCAAGATCAAGTGCTCATCGGCGTGGCACCCGGCTTGCTGGAGAGCGCAATGTGCGCAAATGTGCGCAACGTGTTTGTTGCAAAATGCTGGACGCATGGAGCAAGAGATGGCTGGGGACTGGGGGCGTTGCTTCACGCCCCAGCAGCGCATGATGTCCTCGGCCATGATGAGGGGAGACTCCCACAACAAAAATCTCAATGAGCCGATTGGCAGAGAGAGAGAGAGAGAGAGGGAGAGAAAGAGAGAGAGAGAGAGAGAGAGGGGAACCGCCCTCCGCCCTCTTGATTCTTTACAGTGGTAAGCAGGCCCTGTGGGTACCTTTGAGGCCATGAGGTTCGCTGGGCTCGGCCAAACCTTCTGCGCGATTGCTTCTATTTGTGCAATAGTTTGTTTTGGGGGAGCCAGGACATCCTTCCATTGTTTGAGCCCCGCGCGTCCAATTTCATGCAGCCCAGGTGGTCGACCATCAGGCCCGGCGGCCGCTTGGAGGGATACCGACCTTCCGCGAAGGAGAGCCTCTCTCACTTTTGATTCTGCTCTATCTTGGAGTTTCCGAAACCCTCCCTCTCCCCTGCGTGCAAGAAAACCTGTCCAGAAATAGTAAGAATGCAGAGGTTTCAGGGCACCGGGCCAAAGCCCGCAATGGCGCGCGAAATCTTCAGCGCTGAGGTGGCTGAAGACGTTGGTGATCCTCAGATGGTCCGTTGGCTCCAGTGAGTCCCACTCATTGTTTGGACATGTCGCTAACGAGGGTAACCTCTGGAACGCTTGCTCTTGCATGCTTTTGCCCACACGGCGCCTTGTCCAAACACCGCAAGCACCACTTCACGCGGGCAACACAATGTGTCAGAACTGAGGGCCGCCAGGATAGTACAAGGAAAGCAGAAAGGTCAATAGTACGAAAACAGAAAGGTCAACCTTCCATTTGTCCTCGCCGAGGCGCTGGATCTGCCATTCCTTGACATCACAGCGAGCAAGCCTTGCCAATGGACGGCTTGGAAGGGGAGAGGGCTGCATGAGTCCAATCAGCTGGGTGAATTGCAAGATGTCAGCTTCAACAAAGCCTTGCCAGGCAGGAAACCTTGGTTGAATAGTTTGTGAACTTGATCTACGCCCAGGGCCGATCCTGGGTCTAAAACTCCCGAAAACGTCCTGCCCCACTTCGGATGGCACAGGAAGCGAACGAGAAAACTCGCAGCCCACCTCCTTTGCCCGCGTGGGCCTAACACGCGTGAGCCTCGACCCAGTCCTTGAGCCTTGAGGTCTCAGCTAGCGGCGCAAGGTTTTCTCAGTCTGTACCAGGTGTTTGTGACTCGCTTGGATGCTTCTCAGTTTACTTCTCTGGGGCCACTTCGAAGGAACACGTTGCAAGAAATGTGCCCACGGTGCAGATGGGTCCCTGGATGAAGGGCCCTGAGCAACGCTCAGAAAGGTACTGCAACGCCGCAGCGCAAGTTGGTTGAGGAGGCAGCGTTTATGATGGCAATGGGTATGAATCAAAACCAGACCCCCTCTTCCCTTGGCTTAAGGGAAGAAAGCAGGAAACCAACCAACATAAGATGCTTCCCCAGTCGTGACACATTCCAATATCATCTGGACACCCAACTCTAGCCACCCAATCAAAATCTGATGCGAGCATGACATGTAGTGAGTAAGTAACAAGATGTCGCTTTCAGGTGTGCGCAAACGCATTGGGATGAGTGCCATCGTAGCGCTCCATTTTTCTGGCCGCATTTGCAGGTGAATCGGGCATGCATAAAAGAGACGAATGCTCAACGGATCCGAGCAGGGTCGACGGGCGACGGAAAAAAACCATATCTGAGTAATGCTCGACCAAAGTAAGGCTCCAAAAGTTTCCTCTAGCTGCGAATAGCTCGAGCGCGCACGCGCGAATCAGCTAAGCCCATCGCCCCACCCTGCATGGTCATCCGCATGGTCAAGGCTCTGGACATGAGCAAACTGGGCCACAAGTGGAACTGGGCCACAAGTGGTGCCCCACACTCTGTGCCACACGAGTGGTGCCACACGCCGCTTTCAAATCAGGGCGGGAGTCGGGAGGCCAAAGCTTTCAGCCTGGCCTGCATACAGGCTGGGAACAGTCAACTTGTGGCTCGTGTCCAAGGTCTCTCACAAAATAGAAAGTGCTCTAGCTTGGACCCAAACTGAAGGATGTTGGCGTTTGATGTGTTCTTGGCTGCGGTGGCTCTTGCCATTGTTTGGCATTTCTTGTTGATTGGTGGTGCAGGTGCGTTCCACCCAGTCGATACCCTCAAACAACCATAGCCACTTTTTTTGCCAAGACCCCCTGAATTGTCAACCTCTGTGTGCCCCACTCTTCTTTTGCAGGAAAATGCCCGCGAATAACACGGTTGCCCTTGAGTAACTGCCTGCAATGTGCCCCAAAAAACACCATTAGCGGCACACATACCATACAATCGACCGTGAGTCTGTGGAAGAGACCCTTGCTCAAGCGAAACTCCAGGCCGAAGTATGGCCCTTCGAATTTATCGCTTGATGGGGCAAAGGCAACCAGTGGTTGGCCAGCACTCCATCAGCCTTGGATATAGTGATTTTGAGCTTGGGGACGATAGAAAACTGCCAAGCCGCGCGTTGACGCGCAGAACCTATGGTTTCTTTGACTTGGCGTTGGCTTGGCCAACTCTGTTCGGACAGGCCCCCGACAATTCTCGGCAAGTCTTCAGCTTTTGGCAGGTGGTGGATTTGCTTTTGAGCGTCCTTGGGCCTGCCTCGATCAAGATGATCAAGTTTGACTGGCCGGAGTCTTTTACCCCTCCCAAAGTTGTTGCGTCAATTCGGCCAAACAAGTTGTCAAGCGGACAAGTTGCCCTGTTTCCCTTAACCCCCCCCTTCGAGGACCTCCCAGAAGGCAAAAACCAGCGGCATTACGATTTCCGAGCCACACCTGTGGATGGCCCAGGCTCTCGATCAGCTCACTTCGCTCATGGCCGACCGCCAGCGCAGCAGGCGAACCAATTGGAGGGCCGCCCTGCAAATTGGCCACAGGAAGCGGCTTGAAATTCCGGGGCTGGTTGGATACCCACAAATCTATATCTTTATCTACATGCTGAGCCCCCCTTATGATCTGCTTCAAATTATCCGCATTCTACTTCAACATGGAAATGACATTGAGATTCCATCGTTATTGAGTTCTACTCAAAACCTAATGGAATGTAATCGAAACCCTATTGGGAAAGAAGATCAAACTTAAACTTCTTAGCCGCAGCGCCAATGCGTGACGCGTCCCAAGCAAAACTACCAACGAACAGGGGCAGGTCACTTTAGACGCGTGGCCGAGGCAATTCGGACTGTTGTTTCCGGCAAGAGTTGGGCGCATGCCTTTGAACTAGTGGGTGTTTTGTCTTCGCAAACTTTGCCGTCCCGGCGGTGTCTACCTTGCCTGCGCTGGGCCAAGCATCCAGGCACCCCCCCTCCACTAGCATGTGCATCTTCCATAAAATTAGCAAGGACAGGGGCGACTCCTGCGTCGGTGTGCGAGCCGTCCCTGTTCTCATCCCCGCGAAAAGTTCTGTGCTAAACAGCCACGTGTTCCGTGTTCTTTCGCTTCGCATTTGTGTTAACCTGCGTTTCCTGCGCTAAGGCTACATGCAGCCTGTGCTGGTTCATCCACGCTTCCACCAAGTCGTGCCTTTCCTGCTCCGCCTGATTTTTGATTTGGTTCGTCTCGTGCTGACCGTGTCAGTATTGCACAACTCTCTTTGTGCTCTTCAAGCCCCGCGTCTTGCGAAATTGTAGCAAGCTGAGCCGGGGCTGGCTCCTTGCCCGCCATCTGTCATCTTGCGCTGGCTGCCCGGCCGACTGCGTCGGACCAGCGCTGACGCATGACCAGCGCCAATCCGCCAAGCTGGAAGAAAGGGTTTCGACTTGCGCTGTATTGAAGCGCCCTCCTATGTGTGTTGGGCTGGTGACCCGGGGCTGAGCGGGAGGGAGGTTTGGTGAGCAACCCCTGCAGCCAGCCAAGCTGGTGATGGCGAAGCTCTAGTATAACTGTGTTGTTTTGTACGTTTCTGTGCGTGTGTCAGAGGGAGAAAGAAAGGCATGCGTTTGCGATTGGGAGGGATACTGCATTTGTTGAAACAAACAAAAAGCTGAGGGAGACACAAGAGACTTTAGAAAATCAACCATGAATGGCCAACTCAATCATTAACAAGAGGAGGTTCATACATTCGGCCTTAGAATTTGGAAGGACCATGGCTAAATCACTGCTGGCCTTGCCTGCCATAGGCTTATCGGATCCATGAATTGCTTGTGAGGGAGCTTGGCTTTGGGAGCCCTTGGCATGCTACACGGTTCTGGGGGGCCACCGCCTTTGGGCGAGTGATGCGAATGAACCTGCGCAAGCCGCGCCTGCAAGCTGGCGCTTTACTGGGGACAGGCCGCCGAAGGGTGAACCTCACGGCAGCACACTTGCCGTGGTCGAGAATGTCCGTGCGGTTATGGTAGTTTTTGGGAACCCTTACAGCAGATGCCTAAACCCCCTTTATTGTTCGCATAGAGGCTTGATATGTTGGCCATGGTACGAGAGCTTGTAAAGCTCCAGCCAAGGCTGATCTCCGAGCGCTGGGCTGAAATAAGCAGGGTCGCAGGCTTCAGAGTTCTCAGTGCCAAATGCGTGGAAGTGCGGCACAGTTGAAATACATGTGCTCTTCAAATGGCTCGTGCCGAAGCAGGCAACAGCAGCCAAGCAAGGCAAGGCAAGTGGCCGGGCCCACACGCACAAACCCCCGAAAGCGGCAGGTGGCCCTCAGCTTTAATGTTGCATGTCGCTCTCAGCTCCTCACTCCCAGCAGGTCCATGACCCTCTGTGCCGGCGGCCTCTTTTTAGAGGACCAGAAGGGCACGTTCAGGTAGTATTGCTTCCTGCCGATGGGCCAAACAAGAGTGGGAGTTTGGAGCTTCCGCTGCGCAACCCGCGAGGAAAATCGGGGATATTCAAAATATACTACTATACACGGGGAGTTGGCAACACGAAGGCTACATTCCGCTGTTGTGCTGGATGCAGTAGTCCAATGCTACTATTCACCGGCTGGCGATGCTAAGCATGATGGTGATAATGACTTGGTGTGGCACATTGTCTTCATGGCTGTATTGCAAGCCCCTCTCTCATCCAGAAAGCGCGTTCCACAGGAAACAGAGCAAAACACGGCTGCTTTCTTGAACAAGGCGAGTGACGAGGCAACCAGCCCTACCATCTGGCTAATGCCCTGCCTGGACTGCAGGTGTCCTTAGATCGGCTGCAGTCACCACTCTGCTTCCCATGTTCCGCATATGCCCCGAGGCAACTGGCAGCTTACAAGCAGCCCATTGAAATGGAAAGCGCGCCTGATCTGAGGCTGATGGCTGGGGATCTGCGTCCGCATGCTTGATGCTTGCAAGCCTCTGTTGTCCTCTGAGGGGATCAGCGTGTAGATGACGACCTCATGGGTCGTACTGCTCCGCGCGTTGGCCATGAGTCATGAGGGCACAAGCGCCGCGCGCATTTGCACCTCCTGAAAAACCTTCTGCGACTTGAGCGTTGACCAATGTTGACAACAAGAGCGTTGGGTTTTTCACTTCGACCCATTTTCATTGTGGCCCAGCAGGTTCGAAGTCGCTTGGCCTTCCCGTGCCTGGGGCCCCAACATGCACGGGAGGGCGCCCGCAGAACCTCAGATCAAGAACGCATATCCACAGAGAAGCCTGAAACGAGACGTCAATTCAACACACATGAAGCCATTTTAGAATTTCACCTGTCTGTTGATTGTGTTGCAACACTCATTAGCTCATGCTTTCGGCAGGGACGTCACGATCAAACCTGGTATTTCAATCTGGCCTACCCAAACCCTGCGGAATCCAATCAGCAGCCGTGGCTCTTCGCTGGAATTGCCCCTTAACATCCATCACCTACCCGAGACTTGATTGTGACGAGATGAAGCTAAGGGTTGTACTGGTTCACGTCCAGGCGCCCCAGGAGAGGCAGCCGGATCTGGCAACTGAATCGGCTGATAGGCTGTCTGGACATGGGAAGGAACGTCGATTCTGCCCAAGAAAAGTCCGAAGCTTAGGATTAAGCAGCTAGATTTCAAAAAACTGATCCCGCAAAGGTGCCCAGCTGCAGGTTGAAATAGCGGACAAGTGCTCGACTTCAGGGTGCGAATGTCCAAACAAGTTTCATCAAACACTAACGGAACCGTCTGGAGTCCTCCACAGAACCGCCACATGTCTGCTGACTTTCTGTTGGTCTTCGTTTGCGCCATTCTGCGCCATTCCACCCACATGCTACTGGAACTCTCCGTAACTTGCCGTCCATTTGGTTGGTCAAATTCTATCCAGGTAGAGCTTGTCAGTAAAAGAGATACGTCTGCACAATTTGTACCCAGCCCAGTCTTCAAAGGGGGCGCAAAAACAACCTCCTCCAAACACTGAATAGCAATTTTCGAATGACAAGTGGATTTTGGTCGGCCCCTACCTGCTCCGACCTTTCCTGTTTCTGAGGACTCCTAAGCTGCCACGTAGGGAAGCAAAGTGGTTTAGTGCTCGACGTTGTGCTCCTTGAGTTCTTTTGGGTGTGCGTTTCAGCGCGGTACAATCTTCCCAGCGATGTGACACACAGCCCGTCAGCAAACAAGCGTCCCAAAACTGCCGAAAATTCCGCGCCTGCCAGCTGAACTTGTCGAGCCACTGCGAGATCCCCCAAAAGCAGAAGGTATATGTGGGACCCACCTGCGGCTGCTGGGCCATGTTAGGTGGAGAGGTTGGGAGCCCACCTCGAAGACGAGGTTGTCGAGTTCTTTTCGGAACTCACGCACCTCAGCTGGCTGCAGCCTCTCCGGCACCCCAGAAGGGTTTGGCCAACCACGTGCGTACACATTTGAGCAGTGATTGAGTTTTAACCTGCTCTTGCAGAATTTGCCCACTTTCATCCACTTTCACCAGCATGCCGGAACCAGCCCAGCCAGAACTTGGCTCAAGCCACCAAAAGGTGGCCGACAGCGGAAGCTGCAGGTCGTCTGAGGCCGGCACCCTGCCACTTCGCTTGGACCCTGCGCAGAAAAGTCCCTTTTGGAAGCTGGGGCCCTTCTCATCGGTTCAAAGCGGATTCTAGTTTCAATCATGGCCATGAAGAATAAGCCTTATTTCTGTGATACAAGTGGTTGATTTCCGTGATCACTTTGCAGCGCATTCCTTGGTATCACAGAAGCTGACCCCAAAACCCAGTTTCCACGACCATGCTCCTCTCTGCAACCGGCGTGAGGATTAAGGATTGATTTGAAGAATCCAAGCCTCAGCTCCTCAGCTCAGGCGGATCAATTTGGGTCAAACTTCTTGCCCATGCTGCCAGTCTCTCCAAATGTAGTCGTGCTCTGTCGACAGAGAATGGCAACATATTAGTGCTCGTGCTCGTATTGTTGTTTGTGCTTCTGTCGATTGTCTACATCTATGCCTACGCCGATGTCAATGCTTATGTCTATGTCCATGCTTGTGTCGATGTCTATGTTTTGTCTTTAGTGTTGTCTTTGTGTTTGTCTCTTTCTGTTTCTGCTGCTGCTTCTGTGCTTTGTGTGCGTTTGTCATGTCTTGGTGTGTTTGTCTTTGTGTTCGCGCTTGTGTGTTTCCGTGTTTGCGTTGTGTGTTTGTTCAGCGTAGGTAGACCTTTGGAGTGGCTTAACGTAACCAAGAATTTCGGTGTCGCCCTTACACACACACACACACGCACCCGAATGCTGACTCACAATTCTGCCTAGATCTGGGATGCACTCGTCGTCCAGGTCTGGAGGAGTCTCCTGACAACACACGCGTAAAAACTCTGCACCAAGCGTGGAGACGCTGAGGGCGGCGCCAACCCAATACACTCTAAAGGGACAGCCCCCAGGTTCGTGGATTTGTATTTTGTTTTTTGCGGCTTGCAATTGAAGGTTTGAATTACAACTTGCGTGCGAAATGTCTCCCAAGCTCACCCCACAGTGACCAAACGGCCTGGCTTCCCGACCAACCTTTACGTTGACAGTCAAGTGCAAAACCATAGGGGCTTCAGCCAAACCAACCCCCCCGCCCCCCAAGCCATCCATCCCCAGCCCCGTGCATCCGCTCTGTGCTCCCTACGCCCTCTGGGGTCACGATGAACTGATCAAAGGCCCACATGGGCATCACGAAGGTTGGCCTCAAGGCATCAAACGCCTCAAGGCATTGACCCGCATGGAATGAGCTTGGGGTGTTTTGGAGCTGGTACCCTTTTCGGGGTGATCTTATTTGTTTGGTCCCGTAGTTTGGCACATACCCGATCATGACAGGGTGTGGACTACTTTCCAATGGGTGGAACCTCTCTGTCCACGTCAATTTGTTTGAACAAAACAGCATTTCATTGCACATGGGCTGCCCTCCCAAAACACGGGCAACGAGGGATGGGGAATCGCTCAGACTCTAGGCACTGCACAGCTCCAGCTCTTCGGTTGAACCACGGAAATCCTGGCCAGGGTGCCGCGTTCCTCTCCGATGGTCTTGTCCTTGAGACCTCTTTCGCTGACCATGCTTACCCAAAAAATACTTTAGCCACCAGCCCAGCGCTCTTGGTCCAGCCCTGGCATGTGTGCAACGCCCGCGTTTGACCTCGGGGTTGTCGCCCACGCTGTGGTAAATCTGGTTGCCAACTGCCTGGCCGTCTTTGCGACGGGCAACGTGAGCGTAGGAATCACCCTTTTCCCCCAATTATCCCCTTCTCACTTTCAATATTCCGCAGGGAAAATGGCTTCACAACAGCCACATCCAAAGCGCTTGCGAGCACAAAGTGATGGTGCCCCTTCAGCATGTTTTGTTTCGACACAACCGGCACACCCCCGGACTGTCAAAAGGGGAGGCCCTGCAAATCATCCGCTCCTTTTGGCCTCCCTGGCCAACCTCCAGCAAACTTGTTTTTGGACCCTTTCGCATCTCGCCAGCGCGGCGTTTCGCAGCATCCGAACAACTCCATCCATTGTAGACTTCGTTGCTCGGGTCATCGGGACCTGATGGCCCCAAAGCCCAATCGCCCAGCAGTGAGGTTGGGAGTCTGCCGCAGACAGTTTTCGAAAGGTTGAATTTCTTTGCGGATTGCCCAATGACATGAAACTGACCAGTTGCAAGCCTTGTTTGCTTCCTTTTGCTGTCCGCAAGCCACACCCTCAATGGCTCTGGGCTCCTGCAGGCACATGTCAGCTTCAGGCGCGGGCATACTCCTCATTCTCCACGCCAAAAAACCTCGGCTTGCTGCTGTGCTGGTGAGCAGGGCTCACAAACGAACCCTGCTCAACAAACAAGTCCGTCACAGTTCAAGTCCCAAGCCGCCATGGCTTCTCACAACGCGCTGGCCCGAACTCTGTCAGTTGATCACGGACCTGGAATCCCTGATGTGAACTGCTGAACTGGTTGCCTCGTATCATTTTGGATCACAAAGGGGCCGGCCATCCCCAGCGACTCCAAGCAACCAAGAGTTGCCACGCGGCCCGAATAAAATCCAAGAGGCACATCCTTCTGGTTGGGCGGCTTCCTGAACTTCAGCCTCATTCATCATTCTCGTATCGACTTCCCGTGTTCCGAGCCCTTTCTGGGGAGCGCACTGCACCCGGGTCTCCCACAGGCGCTTCTTTCCAATGAAGTAGTTCCTCCACTTCGCTCCCTGCCCCCCCACCCCACCCTCCGCGCCGGTGCGGCATTGAAACAAAGCGAACAGATTGACAAAGGATGCAGAACCTGATGGGACTCTGATCCAAGCCCTGGATTGGCCGCATGCGCACATCCCAGGTCTCCCGTACATGTACTCGCCAGACTTGTCCAGCTCCTTGCGTGCCAAAACATCCCAAGTCCCAAGATCCCGCCAAGTGGCCTTGGGAAAAACTCACACAGAAATGGCCAACGACCAACTCTAGCTATCTCCGACCTTACCCAGGGCCCGGACTTTGTCATGAGTGGCTCGATGCAAATCCAGCCTAAGTTAGATCTGCTGCCCTTTCAAAAAGAAAACGCAAACACGGCAGTGTGGCAGCTTGCCACTGCAGAACTCATTCTCAAATTCCGTGATGCGCTGGTTGATCACCAAATCTCGGAGCACGAGTCGAGGGGTTGGCTCGGATTGGCTTTCTGCACTTTTGCGGCTGAGAGAAAACCGATGGGACTTGCTTGCGGAACCCTGGGCGGGCGGCTGTTCCCAGGCAGAATGCAGCCCTCGACGTGTGTCTCTTCCGGCACTCCCATCCTGCCAAAGATATTCATCGAGAGACTTGTTTCAGACGAAGGTGTGCAGACCTTGATGGCTGTGCCGCCCAAGGCTTTCCAGTTCCCAAGCAAGGACCTCCTTGCTAAGCGCCAAAACCCCCTGCGCCCCGCACCTCTGCATGAAGCTGGCCACATAGCTGTCATTCTGGTCTGCCTCCGCTGTCAAGCAGGATTTGAGGGCCTTTTGCTATCGCAATTGTCGTGAAGCGTCAGCTTGCTGGAAACAGCTTACCCTTGGGCCCGCATGGCTTGCCTGGTGGACTGGAGAACTGCGACTTCCACACACTCCAGCCTGCAATCCGGCCTTCTTCGCCGTATCTGCGCCCTGGACAGCCGGATCCAAACCGCCAACATAAAGATCAAGCACAAACCCCAGTTGGTACAGAAGCCCCATCCAAATGCCAAGCGCCCGAAAGCTAGTTACAAGCCCAAGATGAACCTGCCATGGGAATCAATCCCCGAAGCCTTTGGGCGCAGCATCAGCCTCGATGGCAAGAGCAGCAGAAAAGCCATTTGAGCACACGAGGTGCGGGCGCAAGCATCGCTAGGGCCATGCAAACCTCACAGAGCCGTGGGAACATGTGTTGCCAAGGCCTTCTGGGCAGGCCCTTTGATTCAATCGAATGATGACTCCTGGATTGCATTGAACTGCTGGCAAGTTGAGACGCCGGCAGCGAGGGGTGCAATGACTGGTTCTGCCAAAAGCTCCCCCACTGCCTCAAAGCAAAGGCGAACCTTGTGTGGCACTGGCCGCCGTTGCCCCCTCCGCTCTTGGGGCAGGGCCGTGCTAATCACATCCATCCCCTCAGCACAGGTCGAGTGTTGCGGGGGGGTACAAACCTGCAACTCCAGGAGTTGCTCTTGACCAAAGCCCGCTCTCGTTTGCAGTCTGCCCTTTTAGCTGAGTTTCTTGTAAGTCACGCGCCTCCATCACTTTCCTGACAAAGCACTTTCTGAGGCAAGCTTGAGATTCCACATGGCGGGAGTCCCTCCAGTTCCCGAAAAAAACATCAAACCAAGTTTAGAAGGAACTTGCCGTGGTACTGGAACTAGAGGTTAGCTCTCGAGCAATATGAAACGTGGACATGGTCTTTGCAGCTATGTGCATTTTGTGCGAAAAGATGAGCAAAAGCTGGAAAAGGCGAGGACTGTGCAATCGCCTATGCGGAGGCAGGCTCGGAGCGGTCTGGGAACGCAGGCTGACCAGGTGTGTTGGCACGGCCACGCGCACTGCTTCGCAAACTGCAATCGGTGGACGATCTGCGGACTTTGGGTGGGTCAACCCTCAAAAACTCGGCGTTTTTCACTTCCCTCGAGCAACCCTCTGCGGACTTTCGGGGCGTCGATCTCAAACAGCTCATGTTGTGCATTTGCTTAAACAATGTTCAGTTTGCGCAGCCATCAAAAAATGAACGCTCTGCGGACATTCGGTGGGTATACCTGCGAAACGTGCCGCTTCGCGCATTCTCAACGTGCGTGGGCTGGGGGAAAGGGAGGGACAGCGAGAGAGAGAGAGAGAGGAAAAACTAGAAAGGGAAAGAAAACGACAAAGAGAAGAGAAAAGGAAAGAAAAGGAAAGAGAGTCAGAGAGGAAGACAGAAAAAGAGAACGAGAAAGATTAAGAAGACGAGAAAGAGACAAACAAATAAAGAGAGAAAGAACAAGAGGAAGAAGAAAGAGAAAGAAGAAGAGCAAGAGAAAGAGAAAGGTAAACAGAACAAAGCAGAAATAACAGACAAAGAAAAGAGAAAAAGAGAAAGAACAAGAGAAAAGAAAAAAGAAGATGGTCAAAACTACGGAAGGAAAGAGAAAGAGAAAGGACCGGGACAGGGAAAGGGAAAGGGAAGAGAAAGAGATAAAGAAGGAGAAGGAGAAGGAGAAGGAGAAGGAGAAGAAGAAGAAGGAGAAGAAGGAGAAGGAGAGAGAGAGAGAGAGAGAGAGAGAGACTCTTATATAAGAAGCATCTTTTATTTTGAACAGGTCAGTTTCCGGCTTCGCCGGCTCTGGTGTCCGGACCACACACACATATTTTCAGGAAAGGACATCTCCCTGCGAGGCCCCGGCGGGATTGCCATCGACAGCCGCCCTCGGCGCACCAAAGCACTGGGCACATCAAACACGCAGAGACAAACGAGGAAGAGAGACAGAACGACCGGAGAGACCAGAGACACAAAGACAGAGGGACGGAAAGACGGACAAACAGACCAACAGAGAAAACGGCAAACAGACAAACAAACAAACAGACAGACAGACAGACAGACAGACAGAGACAGACAACCTGACAGACAGACTGACGGACGGACAGACACGCAGAGACTCGCCGCGACACGCAAAGACACGCAAAGACACGCAGAGACACGCGGAGACACGCGGAGACACGCGGAGACACGAAGAGACACAAACAGGCAGGCAGGCAGGCAGGCCAGGACAGAACAGAGAAGACAAACCAGACAAGACTGAAAAAGACTAGGCAATACAAGGCACACCTGACAGACAAGACACACAGAGAAAGGGACAGAGACAGAGACAGAAACAGACGGAGAAAGGGACAGGGACAGGGACAGAGACAGAGACAGAGACAGAGACAGAGACAAAGACGACAAAGACAGAGACAGACAGACAGATAGACAGACAGACACAGACAGACAGACAGACAGACAGACAGACAGACAGACACAGACAGACAGACGGACGGACGGACAGGCCAGACAAACAAGACAAGACAGACAAGACAGACAAGACAGACAAGACAGACAAGACAGACCAGACAGACCAGACAGACCAGACAGACGAGACAGACAAGGCAGACAAGACAGACCGGCAGACCGACAGACGGGCGAACGGGCGAACGGACAGACGGACAGACGGACAGACAGACAAACGGACAGACAAACGGACGGATGGACAGACAGACAGACAAACAAGACAAACAAGACAAACAAGACGAGACAGATGAGACAGATGAGACAGACGAGACAGGCGAGACAGACGAGAAAGGCGAGATGAGACAAACGGACGGACTGACAAACCAACGGGCAAACAAGCAGACAAACATCCAGACAGACAGACAGAAAAACAAACAAACAAACAAACAAACAAAAAAACAAACAGAACAAACAGAGCAGGCAAGTAAACAAAGAAACAGAAAAACAGGCAGGCAGGCAGGCAGGCAGGCAGGAAGGCAGGAAGGCAGGAAGGCAGGAAGGCAGGAAGGCAAGGTGGAAGGCACAGAAGCAGAGGCGGGCAGGCAGGCCAGTAGGGAGGAAGGGAGGCAGGGAGGCAGGGAGGCAGGCATAGGCTGGCAAGCAAAAAGACAGGCAAAGAAACAAACAAACATTTGACGGTCTGCCCCATCGGCCCATCCCCCCAAAGCCTCTACAAAAAAAACACGACGAATGGGCGCCCGTGCTGTATGACGTCAATGTTTCAGCACTGAGCCGAAAGGCTGACAGGCATCGACACGCATCGACAGTCTCGACACGCTCGAGAGCCACGTCGGCTATAGATGTTCATGGTCAACACCCTCAGCAATGGCTGGTGGCCAACTAATTACTGATGTCCACCTCTGTGGCGATTGGGGCAGGTTGCGTTCACGCAAGCTATGCATGTCAGCTTGCCGCCCGTCAGCAGAAGCACCCGCGACACACACACACACACACGCACACGCACACGCACACGCACACCCACACACACACACACACACACACACACGCACGCACGCACGCACACACACACACACACACACACACACACACACACACACACACACACACACACACACACACACACACACACACACACACACACACACACACACACACACACACACACACACACACACACACACACACACACACACACACACACACACACACACACACACACACACACACACGCACACACGCACACGCACGCACGCACGCACGCACGCACGCACGCACGCACGCACGCACGCACGCACGCACGCACGCACGCACGCACGCACGCACGCACGCACGCACGCACGCACGCACGCACGCACGCACGCACGCACGCACCCACGCACGCACCCACGCACCCACGCACCCACGCACCCACGCACCCACGCACCCACGCACCCACGCACCCACGCACCCACGCACCCACGCACCCACGCACCCACGCACCCACGCACCCACGCACCCACGCACCCACGCACCCACGCACCCACGCACCCACGCACCCACGCACCCACGCACCCACGCACCCACGCACCCACGCACCCACGCACCCACGCACCCACGCACCCACGCACCCACGCACCCACGCACCCACGCCACGCCACGCCCCCACGCCACGCCGCGCCGCGCCGCGCCGCGCCGCGCCACGCCACGCCACGCCACGCCACGCCACGCCACCACGCACATGCACACATGCACACATGCACACATGCACACACTGATGTACGCATGCACTTGCACATGCCAGACTTTTTAGCCCGAAGAGCGACATTGCGCTTTCCGGGTCCGGGATTGGCCATGCTTCCTCACTGGACATGGCATTTGGTCATCGTCAAGGCGCCCAGGCAACAGCTTTCCTGGGCCGTAAGATCCTTTGAACTTCACTCCACAAAGGCCGTACCCAAGATGCAACCCCATGGGCGCCTAAAAAACGAAAGCACCCGTTGGCGCCCAAACAAGCTTCCTCACGCGACGATCAACACTGATAAGCCAGTCTTACCTTTGCTGTCGCCGTGCATGTTTAAAAACATCCTTCAGGCGATGCTTTGCTCTGCGAAGGCAAACCTGGACGGTGAATGATCCAAAGCCCCCAAGGCACTCACCGGGACCCACTTTTTGATGGAAGCTTCCGCCCAGTCCTTTACATCCTCGCGGGTTCGAACAGAAATGCCAGCCCGCACGTGAAACGCAATGAAAGAACCACGGCCGGTGTCCAGCCTTCGCATTTGGGTGCTTGTTCCTCAGCACTTTCCACAACCAGGAAATTCACAAGGAGGGTCCGGGAACCCCAGCCAGGCATCAGCCTCTTCCTGGAATGCCTTCAAGAAGTCGTTGTGCGCCTTTGAGAATTGGCGTGGAAGCATGCTGTGAGATGCCGCGAAATATCTGGTCCTTTTGCTTCACTGAGCCAAAATGATCCAACGTGCATCTGTCTTCTTGGGGGAGAGGGGGAGGTTCTCACAAAAATAGTGCGCCCAAATGGTTGGTTACCGCTGGTTCCTTTTAGTTCCCTGAAGATGCGCTTTGAGAAACCCTCTCCTGCCGCTGGCCCTCCGCCTGCTTGTTCCTGAGCGCGGCAAGCGCAACGACCGGGCTCATGGCAGCTCAATAGGAACATACAAGGCAGGTCTCCGTTTAACCTGTGTTAACCTGGTCGATTGCGAGGACACATAGAGGATTGCAGCTCCGCCAGAAAGGAACACTGCGATCTGCTTCACTTCTCCGTCAACGCAGCAAACTCCAAAGGCCCCGGCAGGAATGCCCCAGTCGGGCTGCACCCAAAAGCGCGCAGTCTCAGGCAACTCGCAGGTCAGCTTTTGGTGGAATGTTCCCACTAGGTGCCACGCATTGTTGGTCCAGGCACCTTCGGCCTCAGCTTTCAGAGGTCCCCGCTTCCGCTTTCAATCATCACCCAGGTGACTTCACATGGGTCTAAATATGTCTAAATTAAATGGCGATCTTGAGAACCCTGTCAGAAAAGAAAAGAAGGCGAGCCAAAATCAAACACTGGATTGATCAAGGCCGGAGCTGACAGAAAAGGAACAAGGTCTCACTTCGGAATTTTCCGAAGCGCCCTGCGTCTGTGCTCCCCACCTGAGCCAGGGTCTAGAGAAGCTGTTTTCCCGAAGGCCGCATGGGGCCTGAGGGGGCCAAATTAGCGCTTATTGAGCCTCTAATGAAGCGTTATTTGGGGCTTAAGTGGGCTCCGCCCTCCTCCCCCCCCAGCCCCGTGATGGCCATGTTGAAAGTTGAATCCTCAGCTTCTGAATCGAGGTCCCAAAAATCTTCCAAAATGAATACTGCAAAGAATGATGGCCTCCCTTTGTTCTTGATTGACAGGGTGCTGGAGTTGACAAATATGTCATTGTGTTGAACTGGGGGTTGTGCACTTGATCGATCTTCATCGGGCTGCTGCTGACCAGCGCCACAATGCCAGTGTATTAGGATATTGCAGGGCGGCATCTCCAGCTTTCCGCAGCCAAACGGCATCGGCGGCTTGGGCGGCATCGGCGGCTTGGGCGGCATCGGCGTCTTGGACGGTGGAAAGCCACTTTTAGGCAACTTGTCCGGCTTTGCGCGGGCCATTCTCCAGATCAGGTTCATTGACGGGCTATAAGGCAGGGTTCGCTACAGGGTTCGCTACTGGTGGCTCTGGCGGGCTGTGAGGCAGCATTGACAGCATTGATGGCGCTTAAAGGCGTGCACGGCACTGATGCAGACGATGAGCTGACGGCAATCATGCCATGTGATACTGGGAGCCATCCAAGGAGGGTCTGGCTAATCACTTGATTCTGAGAGGGCATAGCGGGGTGTTCCCCCAACTTCCACAAGCTTGGTTTGTTTCCAGCCGTTTTTTCTTGAAAAGCTTGCTGTTGAATGCACCCAACAGTCGCCCTGGGAGAAGGCGAGGCAAGAACCAGCAAATATGACCATTCCATAGGAGGCCTGCAAACTGTCGCGCCTTGCTGGTAACAGCGACATCTTGCTGGTAACAGCGACATCTCGACTTGCTCAACTCGAGCTTGCACAACCCGCAATCACTTTCGAGGCGTGCTGCAAACCAAGAGTGTCGTCCCATGTTAGCTTGTCAATTCCTCTCTTTTGAGTTCGGGTTTCTTCTTGAACCTGGGGAACTGCAAGACCTCGAAGCCCTGCGCCGCACTGGCAATGGCCCAAGAGCATGATTTGTCAGCTTTCAAGGGTTTTCTGCTGAAGCCATCAAATTGGCGCATCACCACAAGCTGGTTGGTGTCCTTGCATTCTCACCCTGCTTCAAAGCCATCAGAGGGTCCCCGCCTGCTGCACTACCAGAACCTCGCCGTCGGCGCCCGGGAAGGTGGCCTTGGACCGGTCGCATTTGAGGGTGGACCGGTCGATTCACTACGCCGATGTGAAGCATCCCATGCTTCGAAAAGCATGTGAAAATAATCATGTATGGTGCTTTGCGGCTACAGATGCAGAGCTTTGGGGAAGGAACCGATGCAACAAGATTGCTGTGAAGTCTAACGTTTGCCCATGCTGCATGCTGGCTTTGCTCGCATGCTACGCAAGGCAAGGATCCTGGCAGCAAAGGCCTCAGGCTCGTAGCAAAGCGCAAACCTCGTCACCTGGCAAGCGCAGAACTTGACCGCTTCGTGCCTTCGGCCCCTTCCTCTCACACCTCTCACCCTTGCCATGCCCCTCATTGGCAAACCCCCAAATAATCAGTGAACACAAGTTAGGCATCAATTTGCGAAACACATCCCCATGGTCTGCCGAACAAACGTTGGGCCAGGTGCGCAACATGACAACAATATCTTGCAAAGTGGCACCTCTTGGTACGGCCTCCATCCCAGCACCGGGACCTCATTAATCACGTGCTTCAACAGGCTGAGGGATCCGGGTGCCCCCAGCAAATAGCTCAATAACATGAGCTGATGCTCTGAACAACAGGCTTGCACGTGCCTCGCAATATGCCACAAGATGTAGATTTGGTCCAGCGTTGGCAACATGGTGCCATCCCCGTAGGTTTGGCTTGCAGGATTCACTGAGGGAACCGGGAGGTGGTGCCGCGTCCCTTTAAAAGGGCCCGGGAGCAACCACAAGGGAAGGGGGTGCAACGGCTGCGAATCTGTGCCCGTCTGAGCCGCCAGCGTTGACTTGGCACTTGAGTTCTCCGCAGGCCTGCCAAGGCCTCTCTTCGCCTCGCGTTTTCTCAACTGGGGTTGACACATAACCCTCTTTGGGACACAACCACAACTTCAGCAGGCAAATCCAAGCCCCACATGAAAACTAACCCACATGGGCATGCCTTGGGCCTGTAAAGTACTACCCCGTTTAGGCCGTTTAGGCGCGCTTCCTGAGTGTCTTCCCAATCATTGAGGCCGACAGGAGAGTGTTGAAAGAATACTGCCCTCTTGATTGGCATCACTCAGGCCCTGGCGGAAGTCTAGACCCGACCTCATGTGCGGACTTTGGCTTGAAAAGCCTTGGCCAAAAAGAAGGTCACATGAAAGTCACATGTATTGTGCTGTTTGGCCCCGATGTGCCATGAGGAGCCCTTCATTTCATCATTTCAAGGGCATTTCTCTTGGCACGGTTTGGGGGGGCAAACCGCATCCAAGGCTGCAGCCACACAACGTCGCGGCCTGGGACGCCGAATTTCTTGCCATACGCACACAGGGATTGCAAACAAATACGGGTATAGCCCCACTGCTGTTGGGACGGCCCCCCACGACCTGTTTGAACACGTTTACACTCTCCAACATTCCCATGGTAAGTGCAGCTTATGTGAGTTACAATCAAAACCCGGTACTAAAAATGGTGAACCCAGAACCATGCAAAGAATTAAGAAGGCGGCCGCAGCTATTTCTGGCTGGGATTGGCCCTTACTAACCTTCATCTACCTGGGTTTTGATTGTGGCTCATGTTGCCAAACCATCACAGAACGCAGTACAAAGGCCCGGGCCGTTCCTTCTCGCCTTGCGCACGGCGAGTCTCGCTGAAAACGAACGAAAACGATGACCCGGTTTGGACCTGGTCTGACTTCAAGCCAAGCCGACATCTTATGCGATTCTCGGAACGCTGACCTTATAACCTTCTTGGAGAGGGAGAGGGACAGAGAGAGAGAGAGAGAGAGAGAGAGAGAGAGCGAGAGAGAGAGAACAAAAAGAGAGCCAGCGAGGGCGCAGAGAGAGGAGAAAAAATCTGAAAGAAAACAAAATAAGTGTTGTCCCGATTTAGGTGCGTTCCATGTGATGCTTTCTCTTGAAGTACCCCCGCTTCATTGGCCATGTGTCAAGAAGCCAGGCATCCCCTTTCCATGCTTTGATGTCCCGAATCTCGCGACGCACCAAGCTTTAATCGTCAGTTTCCGGGTGAAATACCTTCCCCGGCCTGGTAACGATGCATGAAGGAGCTTCCGCGGCCCCAAATCCGGTTCAGCACCTGCACTCCACTGACCCACTCAGAGGGCGACGCGGAGGCCCAAAGAGTTTGAAGCGGCCAGAGGCATCCCTGGAGCCTGGTTTACCTCGCATTGAGTGCGCAGGGATGAGCAAGGTGCGCCCCCAAATGTCGAGCGCGCTGGCCTGCAGCGGAGCCCATCCATGTCCAGGCAGCACCCTGGGGTCAAAGTGAGTTTTCACTCCCCAGTCTCTTGGGCCAGAGCTGTTTCTGCCGGCCTCACTCAAGCCTCCTGCTCTTTTTATGTATAATTCCTTGGGCTGTCCCTGTTGCACAAGACGGTCAAATGCGTTTTGTCCGGCATTTTGCTCACCTCCTTGCAATAATCCGAACAAACTCGAAGGATCTGGCTCCAGGGCGTTACTGAGGACCACCTGCGAGCAGCGCTGCGCAGTCAGTGATGTAGCACTGGTTAACTGAACGTTCAAACAACAAGCTTTGTCAGCTTTCATCTTGCAAAGCTGCTGGGAGAATCAGTCACCCCGGTCGTGAAGCCTGTGCCGCCTCGATGTACAAAATAACTCAACACATCTAGTCTGTGCTTTGCCTGGCTGCTGCTCCGTCCCAAAGATTGGACCTTTGAATCGGGATCTAGCCGACCAACAATTTCGTAAATGTCCAAGTCTTCCAATAAAAGTCGACCAGCCAGGGAGCGCCTCCCCGAAGAGCTTTGCCACCGGGGAGAAGTCCGGGCCAGGTGCTGGGAGAGGTCCAGCCGAGCTGAAGCTGCCTGGCATCCAAAGGTTTCACGAGTCTCACCTTAAAGGGTCCCCAACCGGATTTGTCTGAACTTCCACGCCAAAGATTGTTTTCTTGGAAACTGTGCCGGAAGCCGCGCGTTCGTCGCACCTTCTGCCTTCCTGTTTGCTTGCAAATCAGGCAGGCGCATGTCATCCATCAATTGAGTCCTTCTGCTGCGTCAGAGTCGTCGGCACATTCGTCCGACTTCCGCTTTCTAGGCGTGATGCGAATGCCACCCGAACTTGCGGGGACTGTTGCGTCAGAGTCGTCCTCAGGTTCGGCCGCCTGGGCCTCACTTTGCAGCTCGCCTTCCGTGAGCGCCCGCAAGTTGGGGTCCACCTTCTGATCGTTGCCCTCCAACAACTTCACGAGATCCCGGGCCAAAGGCGCCAAGTTCCGGGTGAAGAAGGAGAAGGCAGTTCCCTGCTCACCATCGCGGCCCGTGCGGCCGATGCGGTGGCAGTACTGCTCCAGGTTGGATGGAAAGTCGAAGTTCACCACGTAACGCAAATGTTTCACGTGCACACCTCGCCCAGCCACGTCGGTGGCAACAAGGACTTGAAACCGGCCCGCCTTGAAGTCGCTCAGTGCTTTCTCTCGCTTGGCCTGCGGGACGCCGGAGTGCACCATCCCACAGTAGTGACCATGTTTGCCCAGGAAAGCTGCCACAGACTTGGTGGTCGTAATCTTGTTGCAGAAAATGATGACCAAAGCCCGCTGCCGGACTCCGTGGTCCTTCTCCTCCTGACGTATCTTGTCCAAGAAGCGGATCAGCTTGCGATACTTCTTCTTCTCATCGCATACATGGACCACTTGCTCGATGCTCTTGCTCAGTGTCAGGGTGTCCCTGGACGCAACCGCAGGCTCATCGAGAGAGGGCGAGTCACGTGCTGCGGCAGGGGCCTCCACTTCCAGCTCGCCCACTCGAATGACCGCTTTCTGCCGGTGAGTGAGCCAGCGGTCCGCAGCCTCCCGAAGCCGCAAGGGGAAGGTGGCCGAGAAGAGAAGACACTGCCGGTCTGCGCGCACCGCCTTGGCAACGGCATCCAACTGCTGCTCAAAGCCCAGCTGAAGCATCTTGTCTGCCTCATCCAGCACCAGGAAGCTTACGGACTCCAGGGACAGCGCCTCCAGGCCAAAGAGATCCAGCAACCTTCCGGGCGTGGCGGCCACCACCTCTGGACACCCAGAGGTGAGGATGCTGTCCAACTGCTCCTCCTTGCCCACTCCGCCGTAGATCGCTTGAGCTCGCAGCTTCAGCGTCTCTCGCAAACTACCCTTGCCCTTGAACTGGTCGCTGACCTGAAGGGCCAGCTCGCGGGTGGGCAGCAGAATCAAAGCCACCGGGCTCAAGGTTTGCTTCTGGCACTTCTGCCCACTGACGTGTACCGCCGCCGGCAGAAGGTAGGCCAGCGTCTTGCCGCTGCCGGTCGGTGCAATACCCAGCACGTCCAGGCCGCACAAGGCAGCAGGCCAGGTTTGCATTTGGATCGGCGTAGGCCTCTTGAGCTTGCTGCCCCTGATGCCCCTGAAGAAAAGGCCGAACGCTGGCGGCAACCTCGGGTCAGTGAAAGCCTCCACTGGCGCCGGGGCCTTGCCTTGCTGCACCTTGATTTGCAAGGCCTTCCTGCGCTGCTTCAAGGCGTCGTCCGGCTCCACAGGCTGCTCTGGCCAGAAGCACCGCTCGATCTGCGGTAGATCCTGCACTTTAGCAGGGCTTTGCAGCGCTTTGGTGAAGCCAGTGCTCTTGGACGTGTCGACGCCCGCCTCTTGCAGCTTCTTCTTCTTTCTCTGGTGTAGCTGCCCCAGCTGGGCTTGCAGCTCCTGCTGCCCCTTTCGCCGCTTCTTGCGCTCTGAGCGGGCACTCCTGCCCTGACCCAGCGGCGCCTTCCTCCGATCTGGCTTCTTCTTCGCACGGCCCATCACCGGACGCCCATTGCCGGGAACAGGGGGAACGGAACAACTAGGGATCCGGATGCCTTGACACATGCCCAATTCACCTGGTAGGTTTAGGCAGGCAACCCCTAGCTTTCTTGCTTTCCCCATAAACCAAGAGGGAAGCTCATCTAACGGTACCAAAAAGTGCTGGAGATCTGGTGAAAACAATCCATCCATCCACCCATCCACCCATGCACCCATCCACCCATCCACCCATCCAGCCATCCAGCCAAGACAAACCAAACCAAGCAAGCCAACCAAACCAACCAAACCAAAAACCAACCAAGGCAACCAAAGCAACCAAACCAAACCAAAACCAACCAGACTAAACAACCCAGCCAAACCAAACCAAATCAAACCAATGAAAGCAACTCAGCCAAACAACACAACCAACCGACGGACCGGCCGACCGACCGACCGACTGACGCGACCGACGCGACCTACCACCCAACCAACCGACGGACCGGCCGACAGACCGACCAACCGACCGACCCACCCACCAAACCAAACCAAACCAGACCAAACAAAAGCAACCAAAGCAGCCAAAGCAGCCACAGCAACCAAAGCAACCAAACCAACCAAACCAACCCTCTCAGCCCAACCAAATAGAACCAAAGCAACAAAGCCAAGCCACACCAACCCAACCCAACAAAACCAGACCAAAGCAACCAAGCTAAACCAAGCCAAACAAAAACACAAATACAATCCCAACCAATCTAAACCAAAGTAACAAAGCCAAGTCAAAACAAAACAGCCCAACCAAACCAAACCAAACCAAGGCAAGCCAAACCAAACCAACTAAACCAAACAACCGAACCAAGCCAGACCAAACCAATCAAAGCAGCCAAGCCAAATTAACTAAAGCAAACAACCAAACCAAGCCAAGCCAAACCAAACCAATCAAAGCATCCAAAGCAACCAAACCTATCCAACATGGTCGGGCTTCCCCTTCCCCGTCCCCCCAAATCGAGAGGGACGACCCCGGGGCGCCGGCCCAAAGGGCTGCTTTGCGGCGCCGAGAAGGCGCTGGCGGCATCCCCGTCGAAGGCCTCCAGCTGCAGCTCCTGGCGAGCAGTCACCTTGATGGATCCCCTCGAATGAGCCAGGAGACATCTCTAGGAGGCACAATCTCAACTCTATGATTCCAAGATTCCAACTCTAGGCATCGGCCACCCACAGCATGGACGACCCACGCCTCAACGACCGACCTCGAACATGTCAACTCACAGAGCGAGTTGGTGAGCAGCTCTGTGCGAGTGTGCGCGTCTGTGACAAGATTAGGGGGCCCCCTTGGGTCACCTTTAAACAAACCGCTGAAAAGATTTTAAAGATACCAAAGCAATCGACCATTGTGCAATCGGTTGATGGGCCTGTGTGGGCACAGCATGTGCTTGAGAGCTCATTTCATCCTGGATCCACGCTCGCTCTCGTGTGAGATGCAAACATGTCAACTTGGTCGGTACATGCAGCAAATGGTGAGACACAATCGGCCAGCTGCGCGGCTGCGCGGGACCATGGAGGTCACCGGAAATGGGTGATCTTCAAAGATGAGTGCATACTCTGATTTTGCCAGTTCTCATCAGACTTCCACTTTAGGGATCGCCTTAGGTGCAGCGCTGGTGCTTCAGGGCACGTGGACCTTGCGTCCCTTCACTAGGCAACATTCATGCCAAGCTGATGAGCCATTTCTTGCCACCCCTTTTTGCTCGCGCATTACAAGAGCTCTCAACAAATTCCATGATTTTCAGGCGTTCCTCGCTTCGCAACACGGATTCGTCGTTTAAAAAATCACCCAAACAAATTGAAGGGGGTGAAGGCTTCGCGTTAAGACAGCCTCCAAACAGGCAACTACCAGGAACAAACGAGAGAAAAAATAAAAGAAAAAAAAACATGCCCATGAATATGCATACTCTGCAATGATCCGAAGCCCACGAAATAAACAAGCTACATCATGGCCCAATCATGGCAATCAAGCTGGCAGAACGGAAATCTGCGATCCCAGCACCATAATGACCATAACGGTTCCCAGCGTCGTCGTCTGCGTGAGCTGCGCTTCCGGGAGCGCCTGCACGTCCTTGAAGCGGTGCTTGCTGCCCTCGAAGAAGGGGCAGTCGTGACCCTTGTCCTTGGAGCGAGCGAGGCGTGTCTTTCATTGAGCTTCGGTCACCCAAAACTCCTTCAGGGACATGGGATGACATGGGTCAGCGAAATGCACAGCGGGAATCAGCGCGCTGTCCAAAGGCATCGGTCATGGCCCGGAACGACGTGTTCAAAGTGTTGGGGTATGGCAGCAGGTTCTTTGAGATTCAAGATGTTCAAGACTTTCTGGGGTGGGCCAGGTATCAAACAAACTAGGGTGGATGTTTGGGGTTGATTGAGGGCTTCGCAGAGTCGGCGGTTTGGTTTTCAGCTTGTGTGTTTAGGTCAGGTCTGGGCTGTTGTCTTCCCTGCGCTCTCCCCGGGCGAACAGCAGCACGATCCAGCCGGAGGCTACATACAAGCACCATTTTAAGCGTTGAAGTGTTTTGTTGTTTGCGCTGTTCTATTGTTTAGGATGTTTGGGATTGATTCGGGGACTAGTTGAGGTAGCATCGGGGTAGTTCAGCTTGATTCCCTTGCTTCACTCGCTGATGCGGTCGCTTCCGTTTGAAATAAGAGGCATTTTGACTCAAGTGACCCAGGTTGGCAAACTTTAGCACGCAAGCATTGCTCAAATTGATTACGCCTTGCCGCCAGCAATTCGTTGCTCTCCGATCCAGAGTGCCACGCTTCAAGAGCCCGCTCGTTTGTTCAGCCTTTTCCGTCATGAGTCATTGCCTCTTGCCCAAACGGGTGAGCTGAGCCCATCTTGTGGTTGGAGCGGCCATCGGGATGGGCCACCCGGCGGCTGAAACGCGCCCCATTTCCGCCGCGGCACTTTCAAGGGGTCAATGCCATAAGCGAGGGCTGAAGGAGTCGAAAGCTTCAAAGAGCCCCGCGTAAGAGACGGGTGCGGATAATATCGAGCATTCCTTGGCTTCGCAAATGCCCAAAATTCACAAAACGCGTGCAAGTGTGCATGAACATGCAGTGCGTCAGCACTGTCGAGGGACTAGGTGTTGAGTCACCAACTGGTGTTTTTCGATCAAACGTGCACTGCCTCACTGCAGCCAAGCCTCATCGCCCTTGCAGCCATCTCCCTGATAATGAGTCAGCAAGTGGTGCAGTGTTATTCCAAAATTGTGGCCCCTAAAACTGTTAGTTTCCTTAAATACAAACCGGAGTTCATCCGGGGGTCCACCATTTTGAGACCTTCTCACGTGGGTCCATGACAGGAAGGCCGTCGGGGCGAATGCAACCAAGGCTCGGGGAAAGGTCTGTGACCTCTTCAGGTGTCGGGATCTCTGGCGCCTCGTGGCCGCTCACCACAAACTCGGGCTCCGCTTCCGCAGGTGCCTCGATCTCGAGCCGAAAACTTGGGATGTCCGCACTGAACCCAGCCTGCGGGGGCGGCAAAGAGGGAGTGGACATCACCTGCGCGTCCCAAGGCGCGTCTAAGATACGCACCACACAACGTTTGCTCTGCCAAATGGTGCACGGACGCAAGTCCACCTTCCGCGGCTTTTTGGTGACAAAGGTGGCGAGCTTCCTGGGATTTGCCGCAACAACTGGGTTGCCCTATAGCTTCACCTTGGGACATCACTGCGCCGAAAGGAACCCGTGTTGTACTTGCCTTTTGGACAAGTGCCGCTCCAAACACCGCCCAAGATAGAAAAATTGGGAACCCCTCCCCTTTGGCACAAGCAGGTTCTGAACACTGGGCCCGCTGCACGCCGCCCTCGGCATGCCTCGATTTCTGCTCGCTGCAGCCGAGGGTCGTGGCCCAGGGCTCGGACGGGCTCGGTGTTTGAAAACAAGAAAAACTCCTGGAGTTACCCCCCTCATGAACATGGAACCGAAACTATTTGTAGAGGAATCTCCTTTCAAGCTTTTGGAAGACCCCCTTTTTGCTCCCACGTTATTTCCGGGGTCTGACCGGTACCAAAACAAGCACGCTTGTGGGTTCCATATTGGTCAGGAACCCGATGCATCCAAGGTGCTGCGCGTAATTTGACAGCAGCCTCTCCTTCTGGAAGCCTTTGGTCGTCGAATATGCCAGGTGCGCAGATTGACCTTGGGCAGGTGGGCTCTCGGGTCCGATTGCCTCTACTCCCTTTCAGCAAAATTGTGGGAAGCCTTTGCCATTCAGAGGCCCCCGTTTTCCTCAGATCCAACCGCAGAACAGTCGCAGAGGTTTGGATCTCCCAGGCCGGAAACCACGCGCTCCTCTCGCTGCTGCACCCTGACACGCTGGCTTTTGGGCAGGGTTTTGTTCCCCACAGCTGGAACTAGATATGCATACTTGTGTTTGAATGTACTAGAATTCTGCGTAAACGGCAGGGTATTGCAGGTGTTGCAGGGTATTGCAGGGTATTGCAGGGAGGTGCAGGGTGTTGCGGTGTTGCAGGGTGCTGCAGGGTGCCGCTGCCGCTGCCGCTGCCGCCGCCGCGGCTGCTGCTGCTGGTGGAGGGTGCTGCAAAGCAGGGTGCACACTCAAGGTTGTGGCTGTGAATTTTCATTTGCAGTCACGATCAAGCTTCGCATCAACCAAAACAACACTTGGGAGTGTGTCAAAACCCTGGACAGGGTGGTCCGTCCTTTTGGTTTCCCTTTCAAACCAACCTAAAAAGAAGGGTACCCTTAAACAACATCCTTCCACTTGGACCAAGAAGACGCTGACAGCGTGTGGAGCGCAGCATGGCGCAGCCCTCCCCTAGCACCTCTGCGTTCCATCGCGCTCCAGCTGCCTCCCCTGGGGGAAAACATATGCCGCGAAGGCGGTCTTCGCAAAGTTACCTGCGCGAAGGCATGCGAAGGCCCAAGTGTTCGCTCCCGCTCTGCCGCTCTGCAGGTAACAAGCTCGTTCCATGCCTGCAAAGCTGCTGCCTCGAAGCCGCAGCGACCGATACCCGATACCAACAAGGCAAACACATGAAAGAGGATGGAAGAAGAATGAAACAATGTGGATTGGCTGTGGCAATGCCGCCCTTGAAAAGCGCTCCAAGGAGTCAACTTCTGCACACCAAGGCCCTGACCCCCTGTCGGCTTCTGCTCCGTGAAGACCGAGGCGATGACCATGGCCGACCCTATCTCGCCATCAGTTTCTCTTGGGCCAACGGCCGCTCGAATGGCGCTCCGCTCCGCATCAGCTCGTGAGGCCTGAAGGAAGGCCCAGTTTCTCGAGGGAAACCGCCACAAACCCTGCTTCAAAATCCTGGTTGGACTGACCGAATCCGTCGGGCAGAAACTCAACAGAGTTCGACAAGTTTGAGGCTGCCGCCTGGGCGACACCTGACACCCGGAAAAAGGATTTGTGGATGCGACACGGAACCAATGCGAAAAGGTCGTGCCTTCCCTGGGATGAAGGCAGGGACTGCCTCGCACATGAACGCAGTTTGGAAGATGCAGCACGCTTCCGTCTCAAGTTCCAAACTGGCCGGGCCAACGTTCCGAGTCGCATCATGCAGCTGCCACTGCTGCTCTGGAGCATCCTCCCGGCGCTCACAAAAGCGCGACCAGCAATCGACTCAGTGCTCAAAAGTCCAGGCCTTTTGCAAGGTCACGAGCCGGGCACCTTCATCCACCACCAGGTACATGCCGCTACGAACCTTGGGGTTGGGCTCAAGGTGACTGCCGCCTTCCCAGTTCCCCGAAGGTCAGCACCAAGACCAGGGTTCCACTCCCAATCTGAAAAATGTGTGTGAATGACAGCTCTTCAATTGCCTATCTACAGAAGTCAGAAGGTTAGCTCATGTTGCCCTCCAATTCCAGGGGAACGTGCCGCACCCCATGCTTTTGATGGGTTCAAGGCGTTGATACTCCACCCTGGGCCCATCAAAACTTCGGGCGTCCGGCGCTCTTGATCTGGAAGGGCTGCTGGAGCCCCGGCGAGCCGTTGGCAAAACAAAGCCTAGGAATCAACACGCACGGGCGCACAAGCAAAGCAAGAATGGCTCGGGAACATAGGCAATGCCCTTCTTCTACAAAATTTCCTCGTGCTTGCTATTTGCCACCTTTTTGCCCCCCACATCATTGCACAGCTCTGGGATCCGTCTGTCATGCTGCCCGTCGGTTTTCGGCCTGTGCCTACACATGCCACTGGGCGCCGCGCGTCCATCTCTGGTTGGCATCCGACTTGCTGGCGCTCTCCAGCCTCAAGGGAATGCCACCTGAGCGCTCAAAAGTCGACACGCGCGCTGTCTCGGCGACTCGGATAGTTTTACTTACCGGAGTCTCCAGGCGACTAAACACCGCACTCGTGTTGGCCCATCTGTGATTCGGGGGGGGGGGGGGGGTAAAACGCCTGGCTATAACTAACAACAGGTACTGCTCACTTGTCAGCCACTTGCAGCTTCCACGGGGAGGAGAAACAAACAAACAAGCAAACAAACAAAACAAGCAAGCCAACAAAAAACATCTCGGACATAAAGCCTGAGAGTGCCCGTCGGGGATGGTGGTCCTCAGCAAGCATCGCGGCTTGGCCACTGCAACAGGCTCAACAACCAGTGAGGAGCCCACATTGCGAATGAGCACGCCCTCCAGCCTGCTGTCACTTTGGATCCTTAGGCAGGCGCGGATACTGGCGGCTTTTTTTTGCGCAAGAGAGCCCAGCAGCCATCTGTAGTCACAGTTCCTCCGGAACTGGTCTTCCTTCTGCACCTGCACAGCAAGTGCAAACGACTAATCACGTTTGGCAATGATCCAAGTTCCCTCGTTGATGAGCCCTAACAGTTCCGCAAAGTGATCTGCACTCAGGGCAGTGATGTGAAGCCAAGGCCAAACTTGTCGTGCGAGGATGCTGTTAGAATTGCTGAATTGAAACTTTGCACCAAAAACTTAGCGAGAGCGAGTCTTGCCGCACTTTGCCACGGCAAGAGGGCTCTTCCCAAAAGTTTGCAGATGCACCGCTTGCCGAATTTGCAAAGCTCCACAGCAAGAGCAAATTTCGAAAACACGGCCCCAGTCGAGCATTCCACGCAAGCCTACACAATCAAAACGTACTTTCGAACTATTGCACGAACCGGCCCGCGCATTTTGTTTGGCGCACGCGGAAAGAGAGGCGGGACTCGTCCCTTCTCAAAGCTAGCAACCCGTGCCCAAATATCCAGAGGGTGCCTCGGAGATGTGATCTATGTCTGCTGGGCAGTTACCTGGGCATTCGCCCAGCGCAGTGCCAAGAACAATTGAGCGGGTGACATCGAACAAAACTCAGCTCATGAGCTCATGGCCATGCTTTTTTTTGGTCAAGGCCCAGCGCCGACCAAAGACCTTGGCGCCGGTTTTTTGCCGTGCCGAAAGGGAGGGACAGCAGCTCCCGGCGATATTGACCCGGGCAGGGAACATGGCCCCGTAGATCCATGGCACGCAAGGCAATCGATACGATGCGTGAGCTTCTGATTCCTCTTCCGCTCTCGGCGCCTGTTTAAGACGGGTGTTCTGTGAGAATGTGTCTTGAAATTACACCAAAACTCGCATTCAATGAACACTCGTTGGATTCGAAACATCAAAGCTTCAAGGCTGGCTGTATTTGTGTTGGACCTGGGAAAGCCCATGTTTACCTCTGCAAGCGACTGCAAGAATGCACTATGTGACCCTGTGCGTGCAAGAACTTCTCCCCACGCTTTCCTGCTGAGTAACTCTGATCTCCTTTGTACATTGCCAGCCATCGCCACTCGCCTTTGGCGACCGGGCCGCTGCACTGGCCGCAATTTCTGCAGCATGCCAGCTTCACGTGCGGAACGCGTCGGGGGAGATTTTTTGGGAGTATGAGTCAGTTCTTTTGTTCAAATAAGAAGTTAGCTGCCCATGTGCTCTGGCACTGCAAACAGGGCCAAAACCACCCGAGAGTGACTCAGTGGGGCCGCTTGACCATCGACCCCTGGTTCCTCACGCTCACGCAACAGGCTGCCCGCGATCAAGCTTTTCCACCTCGAAGAGGTACGCGAGGCGGACCTCCGGCGGACAGCTTCATTGGCAAACAGCTCCAAAGCATCATTGCGAGGGGGGGAAAAAAAAACAGTACTATGCAGGAAGCTCGAACTCGGGACTCACACCTTTCACCACACACTGTCGGATGTTGCTGCGCCATCTTCCACACATGCTGCCCAGCATGACCAACAATGCCAAGGGTGTTGCCGGTTCCCTTTTACTGACAGGGCGAATAAGCAGAGGCAGTGCTGTCCTTCAACGGTTGCTAAGCAAAGGCATTGCGCTGAGCTAGCGGCCTGTTTAGGGTCATACACGATGTACCTCGGCTTGGCTCAGCCCACGGCACGACTGGGGGCACTTGTGTTGGAGGCCACCCACCAGAGCTACATGCGACCCCTACCCATACGGCGTCACCGTATCAAACCTACGTGCCAAACAAACTGCACTTGCCAGCCAGGAAGGTGTTCTTCCTCACGTTGACACTTGTCGATGGCAACGTCTAACCCTCGCTCTTTCGGAGCCGTGCAGTCAAGATGCTCTGGAACCCTCAAGGCGCCGCCATCTTCCTCCTGAGGTGGGCCAAGTTGAGAACCTTTTGCATCCCTTGTCATCCCTTGCGACCAAGCAACCGTGAGCCCCTGTACCTGGGTGTGTGGAAACCCCATGCAGAACAGGACATTCCATCAGGGCCCGGCTGAGTCATAGGCCTCAGGCAAAAAGAAATGTTCGCAAGGCAGTGCGGTTCTTCCATGAAGCCAGCTTTTGCACCTCTCACCCACAACTACTCGAATCTGACATGCACGCCCGGGTTGCCGCCAAGCGGCATGTCTGTGACCTTGGTTTGGAGCCAAATCGAAGGACGCCGATCTGTTCAGCCCTCCGGTGATTTCCAAGGGCCGTTAAAAAATATGACTCCTGATTCCTGACGCTGTGCCCAACTCTGCCCCAACAAAGCCCTCCGAACCAGGAAAGCAAACACTGGTCAAGTGACGGCGCCTGCTGTTCTCAAGACTGAAACTTGCACGTGCTGACTACTGCGAATGCCTGCATGAAGCTGACCAAGCGGCTTCAAATAACCGCAGGGTTCTATGAAGCTGAGGCACCTGTGAACCAATTCATCCAACTGCTCCTGTTGTAGCCTTTCAGCTCAGGCTTGGCTTCTTTCTCCTGGGGGCAGAAGTGCATACCTTGAGTATAAATGTCACTGAAGTAAGAGGGCAACCATACCAATGGCGCATCACATTTTGCGGGGATAATAGCAAGATGTGCTGTTTAGCCCCGAAACATTCATGGTGGCGGGCTCCTGCCGCGTCTTCCCCAGGTCCACCCAGCACATCAGGATGTAGCCGCCTGTGCCTGTGAGCCTGGACGGAATCACTGGCGAGCTGGCAACTCTCTGCCCGAGTGCCTGGGCAACGTCTCAGCCATCGATTTGCCTTGGGGTCCGCAAACATCTCACTGGCTCTTGGTCGGGCTCTACATGAGGTCTAGAATGCTACACACATGAGTGTCCTTTGGTGCAACCTGGAACCTGTACAGTGCCCCACGCAGTGTCGAGAGCACATGGGTCAGGTCAAACCCTTCTCATGAAACTGAGGCGGCCACTTTGAAAGCAATACCGCCAGGATTTCAGCGGACAGTCAGCGAAATAGATGCCCCTCCCGAACATGCCTGTCACCAGAGCCGTGCCCATTCCAAATGCCAAAGCCCGATGACGCTTGTCCATCTCTTCCAACCCCCGGTGTTTTTGTTGTTTTGTCTACTTCCAAAATTGCCGAGGGAACCAAAAAGGGGAGACCACCCATTCTGCGAGTCCCCCGTGCCATCGGCTGTCGTCCCCAGCCTGGGTGCTGAGGCAACCGGAAGCCGTCGCAGACAATACCCATCGCCTGAGCCAAGCAGCCTCGCTCGCTGAAAGCAAATACCCACATGTTCATAGACAGCAGAATGTTAAGAACCCCTCAAACCACTGTTGCTTTCTGTTCAAGCAAATCCCAAAAGCATTTCCCAAGTGCCTTTCTTCCATCACCCGGGCACCCAAGTACCCCTCTGAGCGGATCCTCAACCACGCTATGAACCCCGGCCGCTTCCCACGGCGTGCCGTGGAAGAGCTGGCGGCCCCCTTCCGCCGACGGGGCCTGGGACCTGGCACGCGCGCAGGGGTTCAAGTCATCTAAGCTGAGTCATGGAATGTCAAAGCGTTCTAAGATTGAGCACAAAGCGTAGCACTTCGTGGATTCGCGATCAAGGGCCAAGAGCGCGTGTCAACTCCGAGGTGCACGTACACGTGCGCACGGCTGCAATTTTCGCATGCGGGCGTGCGTACAGATTCACCCGCTGCTGCGTGGTGTGCGTAATTACGGGCGAGCAGTCATGTGTGCAGGCGTACCTACAAGCACTCTTTGCCTTTAATGTCCGCCAATCATGTCGGGTTTTCCAACCATTGAAATTCTATAGCCAAATGGTCAGACGTTGATTTGATCAAAAGTTCGGCAGCTTTGATGGACAGCTGAATCAGAAAACACAAACAAAACCAACTATTTGTTTTTGTCTGTGAATGACATTTCAAGATTACATACCTAAAAAATGAATAAACCCAACCTTGCCCATCCAAATGACACATTGTCAATTATCACTCCCCGAAAAATGGTTAACCAATGGAAAAGGGAGAATTAAAACCGTTAACCCAAATCTTGAAAACAATCCCAGTAAAATATGGATGGCAAAATGCGGATGGGAAAGGCCTATGTACTGTGACCCCCACGGCTTATACGGGAAAATTAAACTAAAATTACAACATATAAGATCTTATATGTTGTAACTATAGTATAATCAAGAACTGAAACATTCATCTCAATAATAGCTAGCCGCGCTTTCATTATCGCTAAATTATTCATCCTCGTCATAGAAGTCTTCCGTGCTTAATATATGATAAAATCGGATATGCCAGTCTGCCTCTGTTCTGAATGGCATCATTTCCAACAGTGCTCTCATTGCGTCGTAATAACCAATTCTCAAGTGTTTTCTTTTGTCATCAATACTATCAATGAACCAGAGCTGTTTAAATTTATTTTCAATATCATATATGTAGGAATAATTATAGAACGCTTTCAATTCTAAATATATTTCATAATCAGATTTGGTATCATCCAATGCTTCAGTTAAAGTCATTGCCCAGAATGGGTTTCTTTTTACTCTTTCCCAAGTTGGAAAATGGTTTTTAAGAATATCATTAAACCTGTAAGGACATATATCATAACAGTGATATAACATAATATTAAATCTAATTTCCAAAGGTAGATTATTAATGTCGCGCATACTTTACTTAATATATTAACGTAATATTTCTTTAAGCACTTTTTCAGGGAAACTTTTAAATCAAGCGAAATATAATTACAACATATAAGATCTTACATGTTATAATTATACTATTAGTCTAAATCTAGTCTCTCAAAAAATTCGTCTTCAATTCTTTTTATTATTTTATCAGTCGCTTTTTCATTATATATATTATTTCCTATTTCCGTTTTAAACAAGCCCATTGTTCTAATTGCACTTATTACCGTATAACTAAGTTCATCTACATCATACTCACAACTTAAAAAATCAAAGTCATTATCATTCAATGCTTCTTTCATTAAACGCCTAATTTTAAAAGACATACCATATAATCTTTTTACCAGATTATAATACTTAAAAATAAAATCATTATCATTTCCTTCCTCATCGCCCTTATATAATAAATTTCCAAACTCTTCTTCAGTCAAGAACTTATTCATTTTAATAAACACAAATATTTCTAAATCTTCATCAAGATTTTTTAACATTTCTAGTATTAATATATTTGCTATTCATATCATCAATTTCGTTTGTAATTTTATTGCAATTATCACATATCATACATTGACAAATATTATCACAAACACCATTCAAAAAACCTTGTTTAATTGGTAATTTTAGCATCTCACAGTCTCTACATTTATAACTCATAAACTTTTCTCTGAACATATTTTTAGCATCAATATCTTCACGGACTGTGTTACTATATTTACTATATTCACTGTCTGCATCACTATATTCACTATACACACTTTCTGTATCACTTTCTGTATCGCTCATTGTCCTAATATACATATATAGGTAATATTTCTTTAAATACATTTTCAGAGAAATAATAATTTATAGAAATATTTTTACCACTATAATTACAACATATA